AAAATTTTAAACAAAGTAATATTCACAATTAACATACGAGAGATTGTTGGAATTCCCGTGTAAAAGAAACGACACACTACCTTAACCAACTGGCCTAACTTATATATATTTGCATTCATCCCTCTAGTTGGTACGTGGAAAGTTAGCTAGCTAGTGTGTTTGATTAATTGGCCTAAGTTTATCAACTTTGCTAAAAGCTTTTGATCAACTAATTCAGTTACTTTCTTGCACAGGAGAGGCTGTGGTGATGTGGTGACCACCACCAACCATAATATAGATAACCTTAAATAAAAACTCAGCCCGCCATCGTTAGCTTGTGACTTTCCTTTCGCTGCCAGAGAAAGAATATATTGATTCAAACCCACGTGTCCATTGAGGTTTCGCTCTCATATTTTTCTTTCTCTTGTAGTCTTGTTTTGTATGAAAAGTAAAACAATAATAATGTTAGGAAGACCACAATTTGAGAGCATATAAGTGATCTCACAAACCACACATTATTTGTCAATTCAATCAGATGAAAACAAATTTATGTTTATCTGCACTAATTCTCATCAGTTTTTCAAACTGATATGAAGCTATCATTTTCTATCTGCTGCGTTTGGTCAAAACGAGTGGACGATGAATAGTAGGCCCCTTTTTTTTTCACACTTTCCACATCCATTGAATAATCTCCCGCTAAGTGTTGTTGGTTCAATGTGTACACAGGACATGCATACCTTTTCTTGAACTAATGCTATTGGGCAGTTTTCAACGTCCTGTATACATTAAGATGAAGATCATCATGTTGTTTTGATATCGAGAGAATATGTTTTAAAGTTTGAGCATCAGCATGCATACATCTTCTCTTCTACACTGTCCATCTTATTTGAACAGTAAAGAATTTTCTAATTACATGGCTTTAATTTCCATCTTAGTGTATGTATAAAATAGTATAAAATAGAGAGCACGTATCTTAGGAAGGAAGTCTAGATTTTGACCACCAAAAAAAATATCTTAGGAAGTCTAGATGATTTGATCAAATCTATTTTGCACTCACCACCAACTTCTGTATACTTTTTCATTGCATGCAATGCATAGAACATGTGGATATAATTTTCAGATGCATCCATATATATATATGGCGGCCATGATACCACTAGGCAAAGCACAATATTGATACCAAAAGGATACTTGAAAGGAGAAAAAGAATATTTTAGTCACCAGAAAAAGAACTCAGAAGGAAACAACAGATTCAAGAATAATCGGAACACACATGTTCTGACAAGAAACTGCGCCTCCGCTACCAGACACAGAATTGCTTGGCCCTCAACTCGGGGGGGCGCCTACTTCAATTATTTAACCCATGGATATATACATTTATACATGTGAATAAGCTTAATTTATTTATAAAGTATTATTTGTTAAAAATATATATATAGGATTACACACACACACATAGTTCAAATTTCAAAGAAAAGTATACCCGTACGAAATCTGGGTTAAATTTGGTCAAAACCAACCAACTGATGAAATTACATTATTAAAACGAATGATATTATGCGAATTGGGCTTACATTTCCACCCTTAATCATGAATTACTTTTGTGGAAATGACCATTTCTTTACAAGTATATATTATTGATACTTGCGTGCCGTTTACGACATCAAACATAGGACAAATTATTAAGAAGCTCCAAAGCTTAGCCATCGATGAGCCGCCTCAATGCCTTTAATAATTCCAATCAGAAAAGAAAAGTAGAAACCCCACCTTTTATAAACCACACATAACTTAAACCAGTCCATATAAATTAATCAATCTTATCACTAACCCATCTCTCTCTCTCTCTCTCTCTCTCTCTCTCTCTGATGGAAAATTACCAAACATTTTTTTCCTCGCCAGCAATACCACCAACTTCTTCTTCCTTGTCATTGAACATGGGGAACCCTCATGGCGCTTACAGTACTACTGATCATCTTCAATTCCAAAATAACAAGTCACCACCAGCAAATGGATTCTTGGGGCTGATGTCAGATATGGAGGTTTCAAACAATATTAATTCTTCCCAGAGCAAAAGCTTTGGGGGGCCTGAAGGTGCTGTGAGGTCAGGGACGAAGAAGGGGGAGAAGAAGATAAGAAAACCCAGATATGCTTTTCAAACGAGGAGCCAAGTTGATATCCTTGATGATGGATATCGATGGAGGAAGTATGGTCAAAAAGCAGTGAAGAACAACAAGTTTCCAAGGTATGTGTAGCTCCTTATAGTTAGTTCTATAGCACCGATCTATAAGTCGACCGTTATCAATTATTTCATATAAATGCGTTACACCAAGCATTCTAGGCTTATTCGACCTCTACTTACAAAATATGTAAAAATTAAGTTATGCTTTTCTGAAAAATATGTAAAAAATACATCTGTGAGCAGATATGCTCCCCACTCTGCACCCAAATTCAAATCTCCATTTCCGTAGTTTAGATTAGAATATCGCACGTATAAAAAAAAATGTAAAAATTAGGCTTATTATTTCATGTTGAACTAATCATGGTTGCAAATCTGATTATATTTTTCTGTGGTGGCTGAAAATGCAAACCAGTTACTCTTCTTTACTGAGACATCAATCTCACACTTGAAAACCTAAAAAATTTAGAACAATCGCTCAAGTAATGAAAGTTAATTAAGCAGCTTATTAATATGGAGTTTTCATAGTCAAGCAGGACATATTGGTCATGAGGTTGCCGAGCAACATATTAATTTGATATTTGTTGTAATTCAAAAGAAGTATAATTAACAAATTGAGATATTTATCAGGGGAAAGAACTGGTCTGTCCTTGTATATCTGCTCCATTTTATAATATTCTAGTTCACATGTTTCTGATATATTAATTATGAAGTTCAACAATATACATGCGGCGAAATGGGATATTGGATTCTCAATGTGTACAATTATTAATATTCCAGCAGCATGGGAAGATTAATCGTTGACAGAATACTGATTCTTCAACTGCTTTAGAACTAGTGCAAGTTAATTAGATTAAATATATTAGTAGTTAGTACATTAATTCAAACATGCATAGAAAAAAAATATAATTTTTTGAATATAAACGATAGTCTAAATTACAAAGGTGCCGTAGGGACAGTGGCGGAGCCAATGCATGCGGGCATGTGCCCCTCCTCAAATATTGTTGTCTGAATATTTAGTTATAGCAATATTAGATTATTTATACAAAAAGTGAGAAAGTGAAAAGAGTTTCAATTTTTAAATGTGCCTTCTCTTACTTAAATTCCTGGCTCCGTCATTGTGTGGGGATTCAAATCACGGGTCAGCAAATTAAGAACTTTTTTTCACTAAACCCTTTTCTAGTGCACTACATAGAAAAAAAAATAATAATAATTTAAGTTAATTATCTATGGTGACGTACGACCATGCATATTGAGTTAACTTGTGAGTTTGTTTATTATATACAGAAGCTACTACCGGTGCACGCATCAGGGGTGCAATGTGAAGAAGCAAGTTCAGAGGTTAACCAAAGATGAAGGCATTGTTGTGACAACTTATGAAGGCATGCACTCTCATCCCATCGAGAAATCTACCGATAACTTTGAGCATATTTTGAGCCAGATGCAAATCTACACTTCAATTTAATTATGCCCCTCAGAGACAATATTTTACATGTAAAACCTCTACTTTGTAAATTATTGTGTAGTTTTCAGAATTAATTAACAAAAATAAAATGTACTGCGGCAGGGATTGAGATTCTAGTCTATCTGTTGAATTGTTTTATTATTTTATATTTAAGATTTAATTTATCTATATTTCACACCATGTGATTATGTGTATGTAATATGCAGCATGGTGACGATATTATGTGTGTATATATACAGTGGCGAACCCAGCATCTTATCAAAGTGTGGGCATAAATATTATATAATAATATAATAATATTTATTTATGTAGCAATATTATAGATTTATGTAACTATTTATTTTATGAACACAAAATGCATGTGCGATAGAGGACAAACTAAGTCATTTCTTGAACTGGGCCTTGATATTTTGTCAATTTTGGGGCCTTGATATTCTGAATATAGGAAATTTGGGTTAAAATCTTGAAGGTTTTATTTATTTGTTGGCCAAATGTCTTATTTATTGTAGCCTACATGATTGAAGAAGAAATTAAATGTAGGCAGCTGCCCACACTAGGATCTATGTAGGTCCGTCAATGTATATATATATATAATTTTTTCATGGGGGGTTTGACCAAGACTTGATTATGGTGTAAAGTAAATAAAATGGCTTCTTTTGCCACAAGTTAAAAGCTAGAATGCAGTAGGGAATTTGTTTCTCTCTCTTGTGAAACTGTACAAATTTGAAATAATCTAAAGCCTTTCATAGTAATATTATATATATGTTGCTATATTATATAGCCAAAACACTAATTAATTTGTCAATGGGTCTAGTCTGATGGAAAGGGTCTTGACTTGCAAACTAGAGGTCTCAGGTTACCTCCATGACATTTTAGTTGTATGTGTGAGAAACCCCCTCCTCTATAGTTTAAACTATCCCTTGTACTAAAAAATCACTAAATTAAATTTTAATCTTGAAGGAACAGTAGAAAGAAACCCTAGACCCCTCTCTTCGAAAAACCCCCCTAGAGCCAGTTTCACTTTGAAGGGGGGAGGAAGCCACTGTTCTTCCTCCCATCTCCCCTCTTCTCTTCTTCACTCTCTTCTCCTCTCATTTTTAAAGACAAAAGGTTTTCCCTATTTGTCTTTATTTTGTTATAATTTTCCTCCAACCATCACAGGTGGTTACGTCTCAGAGTCGTATCTCCACCTGCGTTACGGCTTCAAATTAAACCCACATGGGGACCCATGGTAAAACCCTTTGACCATGGCCGAATCTGTTGACGCTAAAACTAAACAGATAGAAATAGAAGCAACTTACAAGTGATGTGGACTAAGGAATGATTGGGCCTTAGGTACGAGCGCGTTCCCGGGTACGGGGATCCCTGAATTTGCAAAATCCCCGGTCGGGTATGGGCCTTAGGTACGAGCGCGTTCTTCCTTGAGATGCCGAATCTGAATCAGGGAGAGAGATGACAGGTGAGGTCTAGAGCACCGATGTGGTACCAGCCGAAGACCCTCCAATGCCAAAGTAAGTTCAAGAGCTTTGCTATTGACAATGTGTAAGTCTAAAAGTCAAGTTGAAAGTCTTACATTTGTCTAGTGCAAGGGAGACCCTACTTATAAAGAGTGTATGGTATGCTCTCGTTTGGTACACCGTATTAGACTATGGATAGGAGTAAATAGTCTATGTCAGGTGTTTGGTGTCAACTTGTATTATTTAATTACCCGACTATTTTATACGGGTTGGGCTTTTAATACTCTCCTTACTTGACTAACTAATACAACCCACACACCCCGGTTTAGATAATACACGCTTAATTATACGGTTAGGAAAAAAGAACACGCATTCTACGAAAAAAATTAGACGCTCTTTTCATCTTCTTCTCCCTAGGGTTCTTCTCTGCTATCTTCTCCATAGGTTATTTTCTTCACTCTTCTCCAGGTATCCATCTCCCACTCTCTCTCTTTTTCATACTTTCTTCAATATGCTTATTCTCTATTCTTTATATATTTCAATTTTTTATTACATTTTTGTGGAAATTAGGTTATGAATTTTTCTTTTTTGACATTTTTTTTAAATGAATGTTTTCTTTGTATGTGATATAGTGATTCGATCCCCTTAATTTGTACAATTTCATGATAGTTTTTGGAGTTGGGAAGTTGATGTTTCTCAATTTGCAGAGGCTTGTGGATATGCCGAAGGAGAAGACACATTTGCCTGCTGTGCTACAATCTCTGGGGTGTATAGCTCAGACTGCAATGCCAGTTTTTGAAACAAGAGAGAGAAATTGAAGAGTTTATAATAGAAAAGATTCTAAAATGTGATAATGTATGCCTTTCAAACTCACTGCAACTGCACTTTGTGATATATTTTTGATTTTATGACAGGATGACAATTTGTTTTCGTGCATATACTTTTCAGAAATCAGGTGATAGTAAAAATGCGTCGTGGGATGACAAAAGCGAGCTTTGTTTGCTAAAGGTTGGTCAATTTGGAGAGATGTTTGTTTTTGTTTACCATATGGAATCTGGGTTTATTTTATTTTATTTTTCAGTTTCGATCCTCCCCAAGGAATTTAAAAGAATGTTTATGCAAATTTCCCAGGATTTAATTGTGTAATCTAGTGATACTGTTTTGATGTATTACCTTTTCGCCAAATTCCTCATACATTGGATTGTTCTTTCTTTTTTTGAACTGTAGATATATGGGATAAAGACATTAGTGAAAAGCTACTTGCCTGTCAAAGATGCTCATGTTCGCCCTGGGCCTGGCATTGATGGTCTGCTGGAAATCTTAAGAACCATACTTTCTTGTGGAGAAATATCAAAAGACATAGAATCAAGGTAATATCAAAACTGTCATTTTTCACTTCTGGTTGATCAATCTACCTCAGTTTGTTGCTTGTAATTTGAGTCAAATTTCATTTGAAGTTTGTGTGATGTACAGTTCAGTTGACAAGGCCATTTGGTGAGATGATTTCTGAGTCTGTTGACCAATTGAAAACTATAACTAATAGTTTGGTGAAAGGATTAGAACCAAGACTTGACATTGCTGGTGAATTGGCAAAGATGGACTTGTCTATTAATGACCAAATTAAGACACTACGGCTAATTTTGGAGAAAGCAAGTGATGAGAGAACATTCCTGACATTGGATGGTGCTATGAGAAAAGCATTTGTTCTTCTCTTACTTGGGGCGAGGGAGATGTGATTCACTCTTTGATGTAGTTTTGTTTATGAACAACTTTTCATTTTGCTCTTATCACCTTAGTATGTGATCACTTTGAATTATACATTCTTTGGTACTGTTTTTATTAACGTATGCGAGTATGTTGGAATTTTTATGAGATACTAAAATTATGATAATGGGTTATATGAAAAAAAAATCTTGGCAAAAATAATTGAAAAACAAATCTTGTCATATGAATCTTACCAAAAAAAAATTCGTGTCATTTGAATCTCAATTTCCATTAAAATTATCAAAGATTTTTTTATTTATTTTTAAAATAGTCTGATCTCATGTTATCCGGAACATCGCCAAACACAGTATAACTTAGTCAGACTATTTATCCGGAACATCACCAAACGCCTTATAATATTATGGATAAATAGTCAGTACTCTCCGGAACAGATTAATACTATCCGAAAAAAATTAGTCAGTACAGTCCGACGTACCAAACGAGCCCTAGTGTTGGAAGAAAATTGAGTATTAATTATAATACATATATTTCACATAGCTTGTTGGACCGTATGTATTGGAGTCCAATATGTATAAAGCTATATGGGCCTTCTTATATTGTAAGATATCCATGAATTATGGCATAAGATTAGCAATCCCTAAAATATAATAGGAAAGTTAGGGTTTTGTTATCAATATAAAAGGGCTAGTCCCTATTCTTACAGCGGTGCTCCGGCGCGTTGCTCAGGGAGCGACGGTCGTATGATATATGGGGTGAGTGAACGAACAACAGGGATGGTGCTCCGGCACCTTGAAAATCAAAGGTCGTATGATATATTGATGAATGAATTTTCCTTACAGTCTAACACTACTCCTAGGAAAGCAAGTAAAGATATTGAAAGTGCATTACAGGAAAAAATAAGTTGCTCCGTGGGAGGCTTTGGTTTGGTGTTTGAACCATTTGAATGTAGCTTGAGCCTTGTATTTATATGAAGAGTTCCTGGAGGAGTAATCGAGGTTGAAAATCTGCATGGTGGAGCCTGATTAGAGCAAGTGGGTAGTCTAATCGACATTTGGGATCGTGAAGTATGGTGGTGTGACCCCATAAATCCTGGTGAATCTCGGCCGCTGCCCCGATCATGGACTCTGCGCTTCTAGCCGTGGAGACGCATTTATGGCCTTGATAGTTGGTGACCTAATATCTCAAGCTGCCAGAATTCTTGTGAGAATGTCTACGTCTAATCACTCTGATCCTCATCACCAAATCCTAACTTCAATCACTTCCCACCTTCCCTCGTGCATTAAATGCTTATTCGTGGTCAGTGGGTTTGCTGCAATAAACAGAGGCACTACTTCATTAAATGAAGCCTGGGACCCTGTTGTCACGTGATGATTCGCCTTTTAATGCCTTTGGCCGTGATTTTGCTCGGCCTTGGCCTCGGCCTGCACTCGAGGCCGAGATGATCATGCCTTAGCATTTTTCTTTTGTCTTCAGGAAGGCAAAGCACCCTATTGAAACGCTGCGTTTCAGTTTTACGAGCAAGTGCCAGGGCCGAGAAAAGGGGCTCCTTCGGCCAGCTCATGGCCGTGATTTATTTGGCACAAACACTTGTTGGGAAATAGGTCACTAAGGAGCTTAACAAATCAACACAGGTGTTGCAGAGCAAAATGAATGCCATTCAAGCTCCCTCCCGACCTCCATGACCTCTTTCCTTGTTCTGGTAAACTTATTTCCTATGAAAGCAAGACTAAAGATTGATTTTCATATATGTCTTGGTATTTGATTATCTACATCTTGTTGTTCATGACCAAAAGGACGAACTTCTTGCCCCCTACTGTAGTGGGCAATGGTCCCATAATGTTCATCCCCCAGCGGGCGAATGGTCAGGGTCACACAACAGGGTTCAGCTACTCAGCTAGTTGTCTGATAAGGGGTGCATGCCTTTGACATTTGTAGCATTTTAGTGAAATTTGTTTTGCATCGCAGGCCATGTGAGGCCAAAAATATCTTTGGGTCAGTGCTTTGTGGGCTAAGCTCCTCCCACCCGTGTGGTTCCAACATGTCCCTTGTTGTATTTCTTTTAGCACCCATTCAGCTTTGCGTGGATCAAGGCATTTAAGATACAATCCTAAAAAAGATTTACGAAAGAGTGTCATCTATAATGGCATACCTTGCGGCCTTTATTCGCAATTTTCATTCCTTGATCGGGTCGTTGGGTTGGATTCCCTTCATGAGATAGTTCGTAATCGGAGTCATCCATGTTTCTTCTTCGATACCAATCTGTATAACTCCAGGTTTGATTGGTATGCTGGGATTTGATAAAAGTTCCACCGAGGTGACCCTCATGTCCTCCATCGATGTCGACGCGGCGTAGGCCAAGTGATCTGCCCCACTGTTCATCTCTTTTGGTATTCGTTCCAACTATATCTTTTCGAATTTGTTGGTTAAATCCTTTACTAGTTAATGATACGCCTCTATTTATTCATTCTTGGTTGCGTATTCCTCTGTTGTCTGACCGACTATGAGGTGAGAGTCACTATGAATTACTAAACATCTCGCCTTCAGTATCTCGTCAAGTCAGAGTCCTAGCACTAGGGCTTCGTATTATGCTACGTTGTTTAAAGTTGAGAAATCCAAATCGAGTCGAGTACTCCATGTCCACTCCTTCATGCGACGAGAAGACAACTCCTACTCCATCCCCTGCCTGATTAGACGATCCATCTACATACAACTCCCATTGAGCCTCGTCAAGATTTGGAGCTTCCTCGATTTCGTCATGGTTTCCCTGCAGTTTGCTATACGGATAGCACTTTACTAGGAACTTGGCAATTACCTAACCCTTCTGGGCTGTTTGGGGCTAGAATCTAATGTCGATGACCCATTTTGTAACTCTTCCCGAAAGATCTAGCTTGGACATGATTGCCTTGATTGGCTAAGTTATCAATACGATGATTGTGTATGCCTCAAAGTATTGTTGAAGTTTCCGTTTGGCCATCACTAAAGCTAACATGAGCATCTCAACTGATGAGTATCTTCTCTCAGCCTCAATTAGACTCTTGCTCACATAGAATATGGGTTGTGGGATTGTATTTTCCTCCCTTAGTAGTGCAACACTTAGGGTGATTTCGATCACAACCATATAGAGGTATAAGGATTCACCTTGCTTTGAAATAGTTAGGGTTAAGAGACTAGGTATTCAACTGCTCAATTTTTCTCTTTGTTCCAATTCCCATAAGATCCTTTCTTGTTTTGGATTGCCTGGAAGAATAATGGCTTGCACCGATCAGACAATCTCAAAATGAATCGGCTAAGGGCTGTTATTCGTCTAGTTAAAGCCTGCATATCCCTAGGTGTCCTTGGATCATGCATGGCATGAGGACTGGTATTGGTAGGGATGACAATAATACCCGTCGGGTCGGGTCCCCGGCCCTAACGGGGGGAGTTTTCGGGGGTAAATCGGGGCCGGGTACGGGGATCCCTGAATTTGCAAAATCCCCGGTCGGGTATGGGCCGGGGATGGTATTGTTATCCCCGTCCCCGAACCCGGCCCGATAAGTAATATATTTATTTATAATTCATATATAAAAAAATATATTAATATAATATAATAAATGAAGTTACCCTAGCGTCGGCATCGCTCCTTATTCCTAATACATTGCATAGGGTTAGCACGCACAGCAGCACAGACAACTAGGAATGTCTCATCTATAGATAACAATAGGATATTTCCTCTTAACCAAACTTGGCAACAGAGCATGGTGGATTGGTCTCATGAACAGACCATGAATCAAAAGATGAGTTGGCCACGTGCTGCTTAAAAAAGATGCTATCCCCTTGACCAAACTTTACAAAAAAGCTAAGTTTTTCTACGCCATCATCAAGTAGGTCATATATGAATTTGGGTTCTGAGTTTTGTACATATTCAAAAAAGATGCTATCCTCTCGAATTCTTTGAGTGACTGCGCATCAAGATTCTCTGTTTAAGATTTCTTTCAAATCAAGTTCACGTGCAAAAGGTCAGCAATGTTCTCTCTTTGATAATTTTCTATTGTAAAAAAATATTGTACCTTCCAATTGTTGTATCAATCTTTATATTTTTAATGTATATGTTTTTTTTTCTTAGATGGGTGACAACAATGAAGAGACTTAAGTTCCTGAAACCCAAATTGAGGAGGATAATAATCCTACACCAACTGAAAATCATAGCAATCCTACAGTAACTGAAAATAACAACACAGAAGCCACCAATTCAACTCAAGATGCTGTGAATAAAAGGAAAGGTAGATCTCTTGCTTGGGAACATTTTGAAAAGAAGGAAATTCGTGGTCAAATTAAAGTTGTGTGCATTCATTGTAAGAATACCTTAGGCGCAAATAGCAAGAATGGAACTAGACATTTACTTGATCATGTAAAGTCTTGTCTTTATAAAAGACAAAGAACCATAGATCAATCAATGTTGAATCCTACAAAGTCGAATGATGGGACCGTCAAGCTTGGTACTTATAATTTTGATCATGACCATGCTAGGAGGACACTTGCAAATATGATTATTCTTCATGAATATCCATTATCCATGGTTGATCATATTGGATTCAAGATGTATTCCAATGCTTTGCAACCATTATTTAAAGTGTGTTCTCGAAACACAATCAAGAAGGATATATTTAAGGTTTTTGAAGTTGAGAGGGAGAAAACAATGAAGTTGTTGGACACCAACAGAAGTAGAATTGCCATTACAACGGATATGTGGACATCGAATAATCAAAAGAGAGGATTCATGACTATCACATCA